AGCAGATGTATCACACAAATAGACATGCAGGCTGAGCTGTGATACGCTGGTCTGTTTTTAGAGTATTAAGTCCATTGAGTTAAAACAATAGTGAGAAAAGGAATTGTTTAATGGGTTAGTGGTTATCAGTGAATACATTATCTGAATCTGTCCTTTATCTAGAAAATATTTCTTATTCAGATAACTTGTGACCTCACATTAAATGTCTAAAATTTCTTTTAATGCAGTTTTTTCCCTACATATTTTATACAGTAATTTATTTTCTTTTTGAAAGGTTTTCGAATCTCTTGCAAGGCAACTGTGCCGTTGGCTCCAGGACTAATAATAACGAATGTGTTCAGCCATCAGCACCTCCATCAGGTACCTATTACAATAATGACAATTTTCGGCCACATCTCTCTCATTTTCTTTCTTTCTTGGACATTAATTGCACATTACAATTTTTAATTCTAGCCATCTTATAGTTAGGCACCATTTTTTTAACTGTACAATGTAGATGTTATATGTGCCACCACCATAGGGCACTTCAGCCCACTCTTTAATTTCACTAAATGGTTTTGTGTAGTGTTTTTTTAAATACTTTTTTTATTTTCCTAGTGTAACCACTTTAAAAAGAACTAGTGTTATTTTTAATTATTTATATACTATTATAGTATTTATTATTATTTTGAATTACTTTTTATTTGTGTATTTACAGTTTTCTGTCATTATCATTTATTAATCTTAGCTAATGTTAATTTCAACATTTACTAATGCATTATTAAAATCAAAAGTTGTGCTTGTTAACATTAATCAATGCACTGTGAACTAACATGAACTAACAGTGAACAACTCATTTCATTAATTAACATGAACAAAGATGAATAAATACTGTAATACATTTATTGTTCATTGTTTGCTCATGTTAGTTAATACACTAACATTAACTAATGGAACCTTATTGTAAGCTAAATTTAATGGCTGCTAAAATTATTGTTGTTTTTTTTATATTTGGTAACACTTTACAATAAGCTCCCTTTAGATAATTAATATCTTACAGTATTTATTCATCTTAATAAAAATACAACTGTTTATTGTTACTTCATGTCTGCTCAGGACAAGTATTAACTTTTGTTTTAAAATAATGAATTAGTAAATCTTAACATTTATTATTATGATTAATAAAAAAAAAATTTTTTTGTAAAGTGTTACCAAATATTTCTATTTACTATATATATATATATATATATATATTTTTTTTTTTTCAGTTTTAGTCAATGTCAATGTTTATTTATAAAGCACTTTTTTTTTAAAACAGCAAGTGTTTATCAAAGTGCTGTACACACACACAAAAAAAAAATATATCAATGATACAAACAGTCAACATTACATTAAAAGACAACAAAGACAATAAAAGAAAGCAGCTCTCACATAGCGATAAATACCAAACTATAAAAATAGGTTTTTAGGCTAGATTTAAAAACAGGAAGTGTTTGAGCCTGTCTTTTGAGCCTAGTCATTATAGTACATTAAACTAATTTTATTTCAATTAATATATATATGTATGTATATCATTGGTCTATTTTCTTTTTTTCAGCTGACATTGCAGATGGAGTGTATGCCTCCATTCCTGGATTTCCACAAGCGACTTCAGACAGTGCTGGCTCTCAAAGCAGCACATACCAGGCTCAGTATGAATATGTGGCTCAGGTACAATAGTCTGATTAAATGGGGAAAAAATTGGAAATGATTCAAATGACTTTACAGGAGAATACTAAGAATATGCATTCACTATGGACTATAACTTTAAAGATGCACATACAGAATATTTTAAAGGCCAAATTTAGTCATCCCTTTAGAGCTCTATCGCTATATTTTCAAAAAAATTTGCCACCGAAGTGTAAGCCAGTATTAACATTTCCATTTTATTCAAAAATGCCCATTTGGTTTTGACCGTGGCTGTTAACTAAGCGCAGAAAAATGTTTTTTTTGGACATTTTTGGATGTTGCGGAAATGTTTAATGCAGTGTGATGAGAGACTGTTGTGCGTGCAGGGCGCTGATGAGCTCTCCATCTCTGTGGGGGAAGTGCTGCTCGTGGTGGAACAGGGAGGAGACGGCTGGTGGACGGTGGAGAGGGACGGCCAGACTGGGCTGGTGCCAGGCTCCTACTTGGCCAAGATATGAATCAAGAGTCTAGCACAAACTGCAAAGTCTCTCCATGTCCTTAAACGCTCTCTAATAACAGAGTTATTAAGGGCACTCCCTATAAAAGTGTCTCAGAGGAGGATTTCTGTTTGCTAAATGCATTTAAGCAGTAGCACATCCATACTGAAAATCTGTATGGAACGTAGTAAATGAATCAAAACGGGTTAGGGCTGCACGATAAATTGAAATGGAATCGAGATCGCGATTCGACAGAAGCTGCGATTGTCATGCGTATCTTTCAGTGAAGCACGGTTCTGTGATCAGCAGTAAATCTCCAGCCGAAGGCCAGAGCACGCTCTCGCGCTGAAACTCCAAATATGCCTCGCAGAAGAAACTCAGAAAATTCCTAGCGCTGCAGCTGAAAAAACAGAAGATTCAACTGCTTTCATTGATTCAACGTGACTAATAAACACACGACTACGGCAATCTACGGTTTATCGGAGTTCTTATTATTATAATTTTCATTCAAATAAAGTATATTTATAATGCAATGCCTTTATCACCGCTTAAATACTATGAAATATGTTGCGTGCCTTATTCTGTGTAAGAAGCCACATCTCACAGAAGGATTTGTTTCAAACACTCGAGTTTGGAGTAAAAATATGTTATTAAATGTGGTATTTTCACATGCTTTCAGATGGAGCAGCATTTACTTCACAGAGCCGTATTTCACTGAGAAGCTATGCAAACAGCTGTCATTATCGCGAACGATTTCAGAATCGCACAATAAAATCGTCTAAAGATTTATATTTATTATAAAAATTATTTATTGTGAATGAAAAACATAAGAATGTACAACAGACAATGAGTAGCCACTACGGACGATGACAATGCAAGTCTAAACAAATTTTAGTGTACATAGATATTTAAACAGAGTTCAAAATTTCATCTCTATTTACTTTTTGGAATCAGTGTGATTTTTAAAAAAATATGATATAATCTATAATAGAGCTCTAGGTTCAGCATTTTGCATTTATCACTTGTACCGCATAAAATAAAAGCTGTGTAATGATCATTGCATCATGTTGCCGTTGACTGAATGTAAGTTGGATAATGGTTTGAACAATGTGGCTGTACTACTTTTTGATTTTTCAAGAGCACCGAAATGCGATTGGTTAAGAGAAACTAACCTGGGACAAACATTTTAAAGTTTAAACACAATGGCCTCTTATCCTCACGTTTCACGTTTCCAAAAGGACCAATCAATAAACTTTTTCAAGCATTTCTCAGTCACGGTATTGGACTTATTCTGTCATATTTGAAATGTGAAGGAAATCCTAGGCTATTTCTGCACATAAATGTTTAGAAAACACTGTCAATTACGGTCTGCAACATATGAAGAAATTCAGAAGCTTACTATGCAATAGTTTGAAACCTGTATGATTTTGTAAAAGATTTTTTCAAGTTTTATTTGATCAAAATGACAGTAAAAACTAATATTGTGAAATATTACAATTCAAAATAACAAACTATTCTAATAGTCTTAAAATATTAGAATAGTTTTTTCATTCTAATACATTTTAAATTGCATTTTAGTCCCGTGATGGCAAAGCTGACTCTTCAGCAGCCATTAGTACAGTCTTCTATGGACCCTTTCCCCCCCCTTTTTTTTTCTTCTTGAAATTCTGATATTTTTCCTCAGAATATAAACTCTGCTTTTTTCCCCCTTGCAATTAAGAGTTTACCTCTCTAAAAAAAAAGGTTTTTCCTCTTAATTTTTAGTTTTTTTTCTCTCGCATTTCAGTTTTTTGTTTCCATCACACAAAAATAAAAATGTTTATTAATGTTTATATTAATCATAGTACTTTCTTTACAAGCTTTTTTTTCAGTACGTAAATCAGTCAGTAAACCAACACCATGCTAATTCTTTATCAGGTATCTGGTTAAAAGGTTTCACACGCTTGTTTACATCAGAGTGCGCAGGCGTCTTTCACAGAGCATACAGCAGTGTTGTGCATTTTGACCAGTTTATGGGAAAAGTTTTTTTTAAATGCATTCAAAATTCTGAATAATTTGTAATGTACAATTATTCACGGTATTTAGAAGTGCCCACGATAACAATATCGTGCATATTCATTACCGTGATATATCGCATTACCGAATACCGGCACAAGTCTCTAGGCGCGTTTCCATTACAGATTTGCACAAAACTTTAGCGATATTTTCTGAATGTCGATAAAAAAGTATTGCGAAATGACGGCTTTCCATTAACCAATGTTATGCGGCTAAAACGTAACCTTTTGCCTCTCGCGATAAGTCATGGCAACAGATTTTGGTGGGATTTTCACGGATTTTGGCTATATTTATTCAAAGGAGGCTAATGCGTGTATCTTTACAGAAGCAACACAGAGAGCCGCTTCAGAAACGTGCGTGGCGCGGCTGGAATAAACCACAGACTGTATAAAAACATGAACACAAGCATTGAGTGGCCGTATCAGGAATGATGTGTGTCTAATAAAATGTAATTCTACATCGTAATTCTACATTACTTAATATTACATTACTTAATTCTACATTACTTAAAACTTAATATTAACTTTTAATTATAAAATCAATATCATATTTGCAATTGTGCTGATATATATATATAAAAAAAATTTTAAACCACTCCTGCTTGTGTAATACTGTTTAACTATATAATAATAGAACTCACAATGGGACACTTTGTCAATATTTTGAATTTTGAGGGGCAATTTTATAAATTTTGGCCCTCATTAATTTCTGTCCCTGACATCCACCTTTCACTAAATCCATTCTTCATATAGGAGGAGACAGCATTGCTATACAACAGCACAGCACAATACGAGGCAGGTATTACATTGCCTTGTTCACCTTTGCACACAACTGAAAGGGCTCACAAAGTGTGAAGAGCTTTCATATAAAAACAAAAGAGATGCAGGCACTCCTATTTCTACAAATATTGACTTCATTTCAATGCAGGACTCACCTTTGCTCTGTAAATATAGCCAAGAACCACCACAACCACCTCAGTCACAAAAACCAGCATAAGAATGATGACAAACTGTACAAGAGAGATGCAAGAAAATTGGGTTTCAGCAGAGCAAGATATATAAACAATCATAAACTATCCATTGCCATTTATTTATCGCCTTAACTTGTTTATTATCAATGTTGAAAACAGTTGTGCTGCATAATATTCTTGTGGAATCTATCTTTTGTAACATTATTAATGTCTTTACTGTCACTTTTGATTCATTTTAATGCATCCTTGCTGAATAAAAGTATTAATTTAAGGGAAACACTATAAGGCAGTGCTGGAAACTTAACAGTTCACTAACCGTGGCAAGACCGCAGCGGCTCTCTCGAATAGTGGCGCAGCATCCAATGAGTCCAATAATGAACAGCAGCGCTCCGACTGCGATAATGACAACGGCTGGGATCAGGGTGTACACATCCTCAAAGAAATGGTCATAGTCATCATACGTGATGAACACGTAGGCTCCAACATAGCACAGAATGCCAGCAGCGGCCTAAAAGGAGATAATAAAGAGGGTTAGTTACATGAAAGTGGATAAGATGTGAATTCATACCAAGAGTTATGTCGGTCTCATCATCAGTTAGATGTGCCTGTAAATCGGTTATTAGATTGATTTAATGCCATCATCTTCAAAAGAAAGACAATCAAATGAGCAATTTACGATAAAGGCAACCGAGGATAAGAATTTGGAACCAAACACAACTTCATGTCACTTTGACTTTCAAACGGTAAGTATGATATGGAATGGTGACCAACAAGAAAACTATCAGCTAAAATTAAAGGTCAACACAGAAATGTGCATAATTATAATCCTATAACAAGGCAGGATAAATAAATAAATGCACAAATGGACCTCCAGGCATTTGCAGGGACCTGCAGGAAAAAGCTTGTATGATAGGGGTTTCCCCATTTACAATTGCACCATGAAGCCCCCTATGAATACCACAGCTCTCAGGCTCTCGTGATATAAACACAGATTTAATCAAGCAGCCTGATCCCTAAAAAAAGAACAGGATAGTGTCATACTACTACCTCTATCTGACAGGTGGAGACTTTAAAACTTCATTCAGTCCCAGATTAAAGAGATTAATCAAACAAACAAAGACAAGGGAATCCAGCTGATAGGTGGAGTAGTGTTTCTACAGATCCGACAACTCAGTTTAGGTCGTGAAACTTTGCCTTCATTGCCCCAGTTCAGTCGAACCCAATGAGCACAATATCACAAACTAGGCCTACCTGTTTTTTTATTTTATTTTTATAAATCACTCTGAAATCCCAAATACGACGACTTGGAATTTCTAGCAACATTTTCAACAAAGGATGCACACAATGAGAGTAGACAAATTTTTTATATTATACTGTTAATATATATATATATATATATATATATATATATATATATATATATATATAAAACACACAAACACACTTTTACAACTACTATTATAAACTCGAAATGTACTGTATTAAAACATCACAAGAAAGTTAAAAGGAAATCAAAGTCGATTTTTCATTTGATCCTGCGAAATAATTGTGATTTTTTTTTAAAAGTCCTCCTTTGTTGTGTGATTATGGAATCCTTTGAGGAAAGTGCTATTAGTCTTTAATGGCCTTATCCTTCAGATATTCATCCAAATGATGACAGTTTCCAAAAAGAATTGCCGGAGGAGGAATAGGTTGAACATGTCAAACAATACAACTAACCTGCTCTGGGGCTAAAGGAAACAATGAAGCTGATTTGCCAATTCCCGCACATTAAAGTATACAATACATAAATAACACTAATCTTATACTGTCAGTGTTTTTTAAGCATTAACGTGATCAGTGTAGAATTTTAAGACCGGGAGGAATATGTAAACAAACAATGCAAAACACAGCAACGAGCAGTTTTTTTTAAATAATGCAATATAAACACAAACGGCACATCAAATATAGCAAAACATGCATGTATTTAACAGGTTTTATAAACGTATTCGTGACATAAAGGAGTGTGTGTAATAATGCAGCTGCTCGACACCTGACTGTGTCCATCTAACAACACTGACGCACTCCCAAATTCAGCACTAAACATCTCCAACTTACCCAGAATATCAGGTTCAGGAACACCAAAACCGTTTTAGACGACGTAATCCCACACTGACCCATCATGAAAATATGGACTAAAGCCGTTTAAATAGCAAATTGAACAGACTGGCTGCGGATTACAAAATGGCTGTCCGTCTCCCGGCTGCCATACCACTGCTGTGCTCGAGTCTGATCCGGGAACAGCGCCACACAGCGGCCAGCTAACGCAGTGTCACGGAACAGCGAAAAGTCGAGAAGTCCAAAACAAAGTATTGAGATGAAATTTTGTTATTGACCAAATACTTATTTTCCACCATAATTTGCAAATAAATTCTTTAAAAGTCCTACAATGTGATTTTCTGGATTTTTTTTCTAATTTTGTCTCTCATAGTTGAGGTATACCTATGATGAAAATTACAGGCCTCTCTCATCTTTTTAAGTGGGAGAACTTGCACAATTGGTGGCTGACTAAATACTTTTTTTCCCCACTGTATTTCGATTATGACAGAGAAATTATGTTTATGTAGGAAATAACGGAAACACGGACCTTTTATGACGTTATATTATTAACAGACTTTTATTAGTAGCGCTGGCTTTAGCAAAGCATTAATAAGCATGACAAGTTTTGCACCGGCACGCGCCACTTACATTTTCTTCATAAAATACGGACTATTCTTTATTTTGTATCTTTTGTAACTACAAAGAACGACACCTTTTCTTACTATTCAAAACATCGACTTATTAAATATAGAAAGTAGACGTTCACATGCAAGATAGTTACACTTTTAGGGCTTTAAGTAGGCCTAATCTCTTGACTGACACAGGTCTGCTGTTATATCATTGAATTGCATAATCACAATCAATCAGATCAATGGTAAGCCTTACATGCATTGCATACACCCAACACATGGCTGAAGCTTATTAAAGAGTGCAGGCAGGTTTTCAAAGTAAACTATTCCATGAAATAAACAACAAATGTTTAAATATTACAGTTTTGTCTTGAAAAACAACACAGAGCCCTGATAGCACACGTACATCACAGAGATGTCTATTTGATGTCTGCGTTCACATCTGCAAGACGAGTGTTTGCTCATCTGCAATACGCCTATAGGACGCTTCCTATCGGATGTCGAATAGACGTCTAGAAGATGTCTTTAAGATGTTTATGATTTAAACTGACATCTTAAAGACGTCTATCAGAAGTTTGTACACAGATGCTTTCCAGATGAAGCGATCTTTAATAGACATCTTGCAGACGTAGCCTATGTGTGCTATCTGGGAGAATATTAACAACACAGAGATAAATCAGGATTTGAAATGAGAGGCAACTGTAGTGCGATCTATTTTGAGTTCACACGCACATGCAAATCTGCGTTCTTTATAAAAATGTAAAAAAACTTCCTCTTGTGAAAATTTGCTTTTGAGTTTGCCATGCTTGGTGTGGCATCTTTCTACCATGTAGGAGGAACGCAGAAGATTTCTAAAATAATTAGAAATATCTTCATTTACATATTTTCCTTTCCACACCTGTTTATAGCTTAAGAAAAAAAAAGATATATATAGTATTTCAACTTGTTATGTATGCAATGATTTTGTCTCACATTTCATATTGTGCCACGGTTTGAACCCAAACAATTAAATCCACAATCACACACACACACAAAGCTGTAGGATTTCCTTTGAAACAATTTTCATTAAAAATTGCTAGTAAATTTCACAAAGAATTACAAAGAAATAGCAAGTAACACGCTAAACTAAACATGACATTTTTAAGCAGAAAGGAATGTTTAAGCTGAAATAATATTTTCTTGTAAAACATGCTTCAATAAACTTTGAAAAATTATTTTTTACAGTGATAAATCAGAAAAGGTCACTATATAATCAAGCTTTAAAAAATTATGGATAATAGACTACACTGATGTCTTCTAAAGTTTTTTTTTCTTTTGCATTTTAAAGCTGCATAAATGTATAGTTTTTTTAAATGCTAATATAATAAAGCTAAAGTTGTTATCTAAATAAATAAATAGACATGATGTTACCAGAAGAGTTTTCTCTGTAAAATGTTCTCAACTTAAATAAAATAAACACAAGATTCTTTCATAATGGTGAAGGGCTGGATAAAAAATATATTTGTACTCGTTTTTAGTAATTTACTAATTATACTTCTGCTTATGATATGCAAATTAGCCTGTACTATTATCACAGTGCATCATTTTCTTTTCTGTTCTGTTCTTTCTTTCTTTTTTTTTGCACTGAAATTATGCTTTTAATACTGAGGATTTTTAAAGAATTAATTGGTAAATTCCTCTGTAAAATAAGTATTTGGTCACCTACAAACAAGCAAGATTTCTGTCTCTCACAGACCTGTAACTTCTTCTTTAAGAGGCTCCTCTGTCCTCCACTGGTTACCTGTATTAATGGCATCTGTTTGAACTCGTTATCAGTATAAAAGACATCTGTCCACAACCTCAAACAGTCACACTCCAAACTCCACCATGGCCAAGACCAAAGAGCTGTCAAAGGACACCAGACACAAAATTGTAGGCCTGCACCAGGCTGGGAAGACTGAATCTGCAATAGGTTAGCAGCTTGGTGTGAAGAAATCAACTGTGGGAGCAATTGTTAGAAAATGGAAGACATACAAGACCACTGATAATCTCCCTTGATCTGGGGCTCCACGCAAGATCTCACCCTGTGGGGTCAAAATGATCACAAGAACTGTGAGCAAAAATCCCAGAACCACACGGGGGGACCTAGTGAATGACCTGCAGAGAGCTGGGACCAAAGTAACAAAGGCTACCATCAGTAACACACTGCGCTGCCAGGGACTCAAATCCTGCAGTGCCAGATGTGTCCCCCTGCTTAAGCCAGTACATGTCCAGGCCCGTCTGAAGTTTGCTAGAGAGCATTTGGATGATCCAGAAGAGGATTGGGAGAATGTCATATGGTCAGATGAAACCAAAATAGAACTTTTTGGTAAAAACTCAACTTGTTGTGTTTGGAGGAGAAAGAATGCTGAGTTGCATCCAAAGAACACCATACCTACTGTGAAGCATGGGGGTGGAAATATCATGCTTTGGGGCTGTTTTTCTGCAAAGGGACCAGGACGACTGATCCGTGTAAACGAAAGAATGAATGGGGCCATGTATCGTGAGATTTTGAGTGAAAACCTCCTTCCATCAGCAAGGGCATTGAAGATGAAACGTGGCTGGGTCTTTCAGCATGACAATGATCCCAAACACACCGCCTGGGCAACGAAGGAGTGGCTTCGTAAGAAGCATTTTAAGGTCCTGGAGTGGCCTAGCCAGTCTCCAGATCTCAACCTCATAGAAAATCTTTGGAGGGAGTTGAAAATCCGTGTTGCCCAGTGACAGCCCCAAAACATTACTGCTCTAGAGTAGATCTGCATGGAGGAATGGGCCAAAATACCAGCAACAGTGTGTGACAACCTTGTGAAGACTTACAGAAAACGTTTGACCTCTGTCATTGCCAACAAAGGGTATATAACAAAGTATTGAGATGAAATTTTGTTATTGACCAAATACTTATTTTCCACCATAATTTGCAAATAAATTCTTTAAAAGTCCTACAATGTGATTTTCTGGATTTTTTTTCTAATTTTGTCTCTCATAGTTGAGGTATACCTATGATGAAAATTACAGGCCTCTCTCATCTTTTTAAGTGGGAGAACTTGCACAATTGGTGGCTGACTAAATACTTTTTTTCCCCACTGTATTTCGATTATGACAGAGAAATTATGTTTATGTAGGAAATAACGGAAACACGGACCTTTTATGACGTTATATTATTAACAGACTTTTATTAGTAGCGCTGGCTTTAGCAAAGCATTAATAAGCATGACAAGTTTTGCACCGGCACGCGCCACTTACATTTTCTTCATAAAATACGGACTATTCTTTATTTTGTATCTTTTGTAACTACAAAGAACGACACCTTTTCTTACTATTCAAAACATCGACTTATTAAATATAGAAAGTAGACGTTCACATGCAAGATAGTTACACTTTTAGGGCTTTAAGTAGGCCTAATCTCTTGACTGACACAGGTCTGCTGTTATATCATTGAATTGCATAATCACAATCAATCAGATCAATGGTAAGCCTTACATGCATTGCATACACCCAACACATGGCTGAAGCTTATTAAAGAGTGCAGGCAGGTTTTCAAAGTAAACTATTCCATGAAATAAACAACAAATGTTTAAATATTACAGTTTTGTCTTGAAAAACAACACAGAGCCCTGATAGCACACGTACATCACAGAGATGTCTATTTGATGTCTGCGTTCACATCTGCAAGACGAGTGTTTGCTCATCTGCAATACGCCTATAGGACGCTTCCTATCGGATGTCGAATAGACGTCTAGAAGATGTCTTTAAGATGTTTATGATTTAAACTGACATCTTAAAGACGTCTATCAGAAGTTTGTACACAGATGCTTTCCAGATGAAGCGATCTTTAATAGACATCTTGCAGACGTAGCCTATGTGTGCTATCTGGGAGAATATTAACAACACAGAGATAAATCAGGATTTGAAATGAGAGGCAACTGTAGTGCGATCTATTTTGAGTTCACACGCACATGCAAATCTGCGTTCTTTATAAAAATGTAAAAAAACTTCCTCTTGTGAAAATTTGCTTTTGAGTTTGCCATGGTTGGTGTGGCATCTTTCTACCATGTAGGAGGAACGCAGAAGATTTCTAAAATAATTAGAAATATCTTCATTTACATATTTTCCTTTCCACACCTGTTTATAGCTTAAGAAAAAAAAAGATATATATAGTATTTCAACTTGTTATGTATGCAATGATTTTGTCTCACATTTCATATTGTGCCACGGTTTGAACCCAAACAATTAAATCCACAATCACACACACACACAAAGCTGTAGGATTTCCTTTGAAACAATTTTCATTAAAAATTGCTAGTAAATTTCACAAAGAATTACAAAGAAATAGCAAGTAACACGCTAAACTAAACATGACATTTTTAAGCAGAAAGGAATGTTTAAGCTGAAATAATATTTTCTTGTAAAACATGCTTCAATAAACTTTGAAAAATTATTTTTTACAGTGATAAATCAGAAAAGGTCACTATATAATCAAGCTTTAAAAAATTATGGATAATAGACTACACTGATGTCTTCTAAAGTTTTTTTTTCTTTTGCATTTTAAAGCTGCATAAATGTATAGTTTTTTAAATGCTAATATAATAAAGCTAAAGTTGTTATCTAAATAAATAAATAGACATGATGTTACCAGAAGAGTTTTCTCTGTAAAAGGTTCTCAACTTAAATAAAATAAACACAAGATTCTTTCATAATGGTGAAGGGCTGGATAAAAAATATATTTGTACTCGTTTTTAGTAATTTACTAATTATACTTCTGCTTATGATATGCAAATTAGCCTGTACTATTATCACAGTGCATCATTTTCTTTTCTGTTCTGTTCTTTCTTTCTTTTTTTTTGCACTGAAATTATGCTTTTAATACTGTTCCTATACAAATAAAGTCAAAGTGAAAACTGAAGTTATAAGTTCTGCATTGTTTAAGCTCTGTCTGAAGCAACCAAACATGCAAATTGAATATACATTTACATGCAAGCATGTTCATCACTGAGTTTTAGCAAAACTAAACTCAGCATGAGTGCCGAACAGTTTATCCCAGTGACTAAAATGGGGTGCAAAGTTAGTATTAGGTTTCTGGTGGTGCACATCATGCTTGCTCGGACCTCCATAAACACCAAATGGGATCAGACGAGACATGGACCAAGGGAAATCATATCCGCAGTGGTCTTCCACTGATACATAGACGTGGACCACCATGAACATCCAGGTGGTGAGCAGATGACACCTCAGCAGAATGGGGTTGAGCGTGGTCCAGAAGCCCACCGTGACCAACTCCCATCCACTAAGGCACTGTGTGGCCAGAGCAAATGGGGCGGCGTAATTATGGTGGATAGCATGGAAAGTCACATACAGCCAGCGGATCTTATGGTGCAAAAAGTGCCAGATAAAATACTGAAAGTCAAAAAGAAGAAGGTTTCCAGTCACCCCACCTGCAAGTTCAAGCAATGTAGGTGCTCGTTCAGGCAGGGGAACAGAAGGTCTCCACATCCACTGCGCTACTGCTGCAGGAAACACCAGAAGTACATGATTATAAAGAGTTACTCCACTGCAGTGAAGGAGCATTGCAGTTGTGGGCATTTTGTCGGGTTGAATCTTGTACCGGTTAATAGCTGGCCACTTCTTTCCCATGATGTCGCAGACTAGGTAGGGTAGACAAAGCACAAAATACGACGCTACAGTCAGAATCACAGGAAAGAGAGGAGACCGAAGAGTTTCAGAGTGGTTGAGTCGCACATAGTCCCACATAGGCTGCAAAACTGAGTCTTCTGTCTGGTAGGTCTCCAAAATTGTCTCGAACGCATGAACTAGTGTCATTTTCAATAATTGGTCAACTATATTTCTTTTAAAGCAACAGATATAACTCAGAATTGTTTAGCTTTCTAAATCATCCTCTGTCCTGGATGTTTCATGTGGCTCATGTACCTGGTATCTAATGACTTTGTACTGAAATATTTATACCGTCATTCTGTTTCTAAATTATTCAGGTTTGTGAAGGGTGTATTTTGATGTAGACATTACTTACAATATGTAATAAATATATTTATTTACATTCTAGGAATAAAAGGTGTGTTTAAGACAGTTTGGATGTGAATTTATTACTCAGTACTTGAACTTCCGGGCATGCACTGTTCTTTCCACTCCGTAACGCAAGAGGGCGTCGAAGACGTCTCAGTCAAACCATGGAAAAAGAATAAGCAAATAGAATAGTGATTAGAATAGCCAGAGTTGAATGGGCGTGGCTTTGGCCCATACGTTGTCTCTAATTGGTCAGGTATATGATTGGTCCAAATATCCAGTTCTTTACTGTGTATTTTTAAATCAATGAATATTAAAATGTCTCACTGATATTATTCCGAAGTAAATTATTTAATTATGATATATGATATATTCAATCGTGCCGCTTCTACACTCAGAGCAGGCGATGATGCTATTAATAGGAAAAAGTGCTGCATCAGAAAGCTGCAGGCGCAACAAAAGACAGATAGAGAGAGAGAATAGTACAGTTCACAAAGAAAAAGAAAGAAATGTGGACGGTCACGCATCAGATCCACACGGCAGCATTCGAGTGACAGCAGCCAGTCTGGTACAGAGGAGCATCCGACCCTATTCAGCCACAAAACTGTTCCTGTAAAGCAAGAGAGAGCCCGGCGTTCTTGTCGCTACTTCCTGTATCGATTTGGTGCAACGTAGGACCGCTTTTGGCATCCACAGGACCAGCCACATAGCCCGAGAGAGAAGCGCACCTTTCCCAGATCGATACCGAAGTATAGCGCAAACGGCGTCACGTGGTACACGTTACTTTCCTCCGCGCTGGTCAGGTTGGACCAATCACAGGGAAACATAATTACATCGTAAAGCTTTTCAAAACATCGTTTAGTACAGTTAGCTTGATCAGATTTTCATTTGGTCTTTTTGGTGTGTCAGGTACCAGTTAATAGATTAAAACGATTACACTTTTTGGTGTGAAAAATCTCCAGTAGGCGCAAAAACCGTTTTAAGATTTGAACGCAGATACATTAAGAATTAGACTTTGTGAGCCAGCAAAGCGCCTCCTGGAGGAAGTAAGCGTTCTGTTACATAACATATCTAACGGATGCCTCGCAATCTTAGAAACTCGCATGTTTATGCTAACACGTAAACGTACTGACACAGAGCGTCAGCATTAAGTACTGAAGTACTGGACAGTTTACAGTGACTACAAGGTGCAATCCGTTCTAATGGAGTCAGAAAGTGCGGATGTGGTGCAGGTTAGTGGCGAACCTCTGTTAGGTAACATCCATCACAAATATCCATTAATAATAGTCATTTTGATCAGAGTTTTAATTCAGAACAACACTGTCAGGTCCACTTAAACGCCAACATAAGTAAACCAAAAACAACATGCTATTTTAAACAGTCGAACTTTAGCTTTAGCAGGACTTCCTGCTCCCACGGTGCGTTTTAGAAATGTTCGATTCGTCAATGAATTGAGAGTCGAATCTTTTCAACGAATCAGTTGAATATGGTTATTTTAATAGGATTTTATTCATAAAACGTATTTAATAAAACCCAATTAAAATCGTTAGTACGTATCAGAATGAACAAGTGATGAGAGAAATTAGGCTTTTTCAAATTCTGAATCAACTGAACCAAAATGATTCGCAAAATGATTCACTGTTTCGGAGAGTTCGAAACATCACAGGCTGGCGGCACCTGCTGGTTAAAACGGGGTAAATTCAACAAAATCTCAACCCAAACATGTATAATTAAAGGGGTCAAATGATGCGATTTCAATTTTTCCTTTCTCTTTGGAGTGTTACAAGCTCTTCCAAAGAGATATTCTTTATAAAAGTTAAGAGTCGACCACGCAACTACATGTCTAAAAACACACAGTGTCACACACGGCGGGCTAGAGTGAGTGGCGGCCGGGGGATAAAGTGAGAAACGGCCAGAGGGCTTGAGAACGGCGCGGCCGGCGGATTCGACGAAGGAACGGCTGGCGGGCTTGCGGCAATCACATGTGATGAGCCCGGGCTGGACTCCGCTTCGTCCACGGTGAAAGCCGATCCGGCGATCCACAGCGCGAAGTTGATGTATTTCTTCAGCGACCAGCACGGATCAGCTCCAGGCATGACGAAGTGGATATCGTCCTCTTTTGGAAGGCCAAACAAAGTAGTTTTGCTTTCACAACAAAACACACAGCGTCACACACGGCGGGCTAGAGTGAGCGGCGGCCGGGGGATAAAGTGAGGAATGGCCGGAGGGCTAGAGTGAGCGGAGGCCGGTGGGCTTGAGAACGGCGCGGCCGGCGGATTCGATGAAGGAACGGCCGGCGGGCTTGCGGCAATCACATGTGATGAGCCCGGGCTGGACTCCGCTTCGTCCACGGTGAAAGCCGATCCGG